GAGATGAGTCCTAGGGGCAGTAGGAAGTGTGGAACGGGAGCACAGGTGAGAGGTCAAGGGTGGCCAAATGAGTGTAATCAACACCGTTCTGTGGTAGGTGAAGCCATGAGAGGATGTGAGCCCTCCCAGAAGAGTGGCAGAAAGACATAAGCTCGGAATGCTGAAGACTCAGCTTTGGGAAGATTGGGAACTCTGGCATAGCAGGAGGAAAGAGGGAGTCACAGTGACAGAGGAGGAGAGGAAACTAGAAAAACAAGAATGTCGTATGCCGTCAAAGAAAAAGAAAGCCTTAACAAGGAAAGGAGAGTCATTGTTTAACAGGCCACTTACTGCATCGGGCTGTGTATTAAAATCCTGTCTCTGTCACTTATTAATTACATGTCACTTCAAAAGTTTTATTGTCTCTCTTAGTTCATCATCTGTAAAATGCTCATAATATAATCTACCTCATAGGTATATTTTTGAGGATTTAGTGAGAAAATGTATACAAAATACTTTACATAGTATCTGGCACAGATCAGAAGTTAACAGATGTATTTGATGACTTTTAGGGAAACAATAGAATGATAAGAACAGAAAATAATGCAAGAGGTTAAAGAACTGAGCATTGAGGAAAAAAACAATAGCTATGGAGAACTTACTAGGGTAGAGATTCTTTGGCCAAAAATGAAGAGAGGTTGGGCCGGCCAAGTGGCGCAATGGTTAAGAACTGGCTTGGGACGCCAGAGGGCCCCGGTTCGGATCCCACATATGAGGGCCAGTGACACTGCCCTCCACAGCTAAGATGCTGAACAACAGCTCAACCTGGAGCTGGGCTGCCGTGAGTCGCCGGCGACGGTGTAGGCTGCAGCCCCTATGGCAGTGGATTGCCATGGGCTACTGTGCATAGCCAGCAGCCAGTGTGAGCGGCCAGCAGCCTCAGTGAGCGGCCGTCCAGAAACCGGCGACTGATCAGCCTCGCCCAGGAAGAGCACAATGATGGTGCCAACTTGGGCCAGTGAAGCAACATCCTCCACAACTAGACTGAAGAACAAAACAACAGCAACTTGTCTGTTCTCCTTCCCCCAATTCCCCAGCGCTGTTCCCATCCCCTCAATTCCCCAATAAAAATCTTTAAAAAAAAATTTTTTTTTAAAACGAAGAGAGGTCATAATAGTTGCTAGAGAAGCAATAGAGTGAAGTAAAGGTTTTGCTTAAGTTCAGTCTATGCTGAGCAAGGGTTATCATCATTAGTGTTGACATGGAAGCCTATTTCACTAGGGTTGAGCCATTTAGTTATTTACATTAGGCCACTTAACCTTCAGAACAGAAATCAAACAATTGCACAACTAAAAGATCTTGTCCAAATACATGTGAACAATAGAAGGGTGCAGCCTTTGTAGGAAACAGCATGATGGTTCCTCCAAAAATTAAAAATAGACCTATCATCTGATCTAGCAATGCCACTTCTGTGTATACACCCAAAAGAATTGAAAGCAGGGACTCAAACAGATATTTGTGTGCCTATGTCCATAGCAGCATTATTCACAATAGCCAAAAGATGGAAACAACCCAAATGTTCAACAACAAGTGAATGTATAAAACAAAATGTGTTATATGCATACAATGGGATATTCAGCCTTAAAAAGGAAGGAGATTCCGACGTATACTGTATACAACATGGATGGACCTCGAGGACATTATGCTGAGTGAAATAAGCCAGATACAAACGGACAAATATTGTATGATTCCACTTCTATGAGGTTTCTAGAGTAATCCAGTTCATCCAGACAGAAAATAGAATGGTGGCTACCAGGAGCTCAGGGGAGGGGGAAATGGAGAGTTATTGTTTAATGAGTGCAGAGTTTCAGTCTGGGATGATGAAAAGAGGTCTGGAGATGGATGGTCGTGATGGTTGCACAACACTGTGAATGTATTTAATACTACTGAGCTGTATACGTAAAAAAATGGTTAAAATAGTAAACTTGATGTTATGTATATTTTACCACAATTAAATATATACGTGTGTGTGTGTGTATGTGTATGTGTGTATACCAGGGGTGCCAAACAAATGTATACAAGTGGACACTTTGGTCAACGTGGCTCAAGCAGTAGTTCGCCATAATCAGAAGTATGTGGGCACTGATGGTAACCACTTTGAGCACCTCTTGTAATTGCAGAAGTCAAACATGACTTGTATTCATCGTTTGTTATCAGTACATATTGAGTATTACAATTTTAATACAGTTTTCCTTTCTTAAAATGTGTATACATTTTTTTGCACTATATGTATATATATACATATATATATACATATACACACACACATATATGTATGTATATATATGTGTGTGTATATGTATATAAAATATAAAATGAACAAAACAAGGCAATGCCCTCTGCTAGATAAAATGGACTGAGAAGTTACAAGAGACAATCAACTTATACCCGTTTAAAGTATGAAATATTTCATGTATACAAAATAAAATGCACAATGTAAATACAGACATAAAAATAGACAAAAATCTAGGCAGCCACCATCCAGCTTAAAACATAGACCATCACGAATAGTGTTGGGAGCCCTGTTGCATCTCCCTGATGACATTTCTCTCCCTCCCTGACACAGGATCACCGCCATTCTGAATTTGTGTTTATCACTCCTTGCTCTTCATTATGACACATATTATATGTAACCTTAAACAACATATTGCCTTTCCACCCAGCATCATGAGATGTCTGTATGATGATGTCTGTAGCATGCTCATTGGGAACTGTGCTATCTTCTCAATTGAAGCGTTCATCATTATGTAGTGACTCTCTTTATTCCTAAAAATGCATTTTGCCTTAAAGTCTCTTTTGTCTGGTATTAACATGTCTACATCAACTCTCTTTTTTTTCTATTCATCCTTATATCCTTTCACCTTCAGTCTTTCTGTGTTCTTATGTCTTTTTTAGATGTGCGCATAGCTGGATTGTTTTTAAATGCATTCTAATAATTTCTGTGTTTTAACTGGCACATTTAAGACTATTTCTTTTTTATTTTTTTTTAAGATTTGATTTTATTGGGGAATTGTGGGAGGGGAACAGCGTTGGGGAATCGGGGGAGAGGAATAGACAAGTTGCTGTCCTTTTGTTCTTCAGTCTAGTTGTGGAGGACGTCGCTTCACTGGCCCACGTTGGTATTATCATTGCGCTTTTCCAGGGTGAGGCAGTCGCTCGCTGGCCATTGGAGGGCTGCTCACAGCGGCTCATGGGGGCTCACGAAAGCTCACGCCTGCTGCTGGCCAGCCCCACTGCAGCCTACACCGTCGCCGGTGACTCATGGCAGCCCAGCTCCAGGTTGAGCTATTGTTCACCATCTTAGATGTAGAGGGTGCAGCATTACTGGCCCTCATGTGGGATCCGAACTGGGGCCCTGCTGTTCAGAGCTGGCGTCCCAAGCCAACTCCTAACCAACGCACCACTCAGCTGGCCAAGACTGTTGCTTTTTATTGCGATTACTGATATATATGGATTCTTTTCTATCACGTTATTCTTTTCTACCACCCACTTTTCCTATGCTTTCTCCTCTCCTTTCTGACCTTCTCTTGGATCAATCAAGTTGTTTTGCTGCTGTTTTTAATTCCTTTTCTCTACTAGTTTGGTGGTGATATTATTTTTATGGTAATTACCTGTAAAATTTAACTATGCATACTTGCATACTTGACTTTTACAAAGTCTAAAATTAATGCTCATCTTCCTCCAAATAAAAGAACATAAAGTGAAAGATAATAGAGTACCACCAACCTGAGGGCACTTTAATTTTTGTCTTGGGAATTTCCAACCAGGCTGGTGGTATAAATTTAAAACTTAGACCTAGTTTGTGGCTACTGACTCGTGGGAGACTATCTCGCCCCCAGCAAGAAGCAACAATAGAGACAGATTTCTGTGTCCCTCCCACTGCCAGTAGGCAGATATTTTTAGTCCCACTCTTTCACACTGAGGGTGTATGAACCTTGTGAGGGTCTCAGGTTTCAGAGGGAGGGGATGAATAAGAGAATCAGTGGATTCAGCTATTTACATTTTGTGGGCCCAAGACCTGGTCTGTTTGCAACTTGCCTGACCATTTGTCTGAAAGGGTCAAGTTCCTAGCATCAACATTTGCTCCCTAATTTCTCCATTTGCTTACCATTCTGGTTTCTGCTTTACTCACTTTATTTGTCACTTGAGGATTTCCCTCAGTTTCTTGCCACTTAATAAGGCAATTTGAAAGGTATAGTTTGCTGGGATTTGTCTAACATCTAGGTGTTTTGAAGAGGGAGGGCTTTTCAGAATATCTAGACTCATTCTCTACTAAAAGCAGACAAAATCTTTTAATCTGTTGTTTGTACACAGAGTTGTATACCATTTACAGATTTTCATATTTTGTTTCAAATTGTCCTGGAACTTTTTAAGTAAAGTGTATAAGTTTTCTCTTTTACAGCTAGAGTAGATAAGTATATTCAGATTTAAAGAGAGATGTTCATTAAATGGCGGTTTAATGATTTTAATTTGGAGATAACCTAATGTCAAATAATAGAGGATTCACAGAGTCAATTTTGCTACAACTCTTATTTGGCCAATAAGAGTTGTGTGACATGGAAGATGTTCATGATATGCTGTTGAATAAATAAGCTGTTTTGTATGACCCCCTTTTTATTTATATAGATATGTATTTACTTTGAAAAAATTCTGGAAGGAGACATCCAATATTTTGGTGTGACATCATTAGGGAATATTTTTGCTTCTTATTAATCTCTACTTTTTGATGAACAAGTATTGTGTGCATTTTTATGTAAAGGACAGATTATTTACAAAAGGGGCTTAGTAAACCGCTTTCTAAGCTCAGAGTTGTGTACCAATAGAATGCATCTGTCTTGTGAGTTAATGAATTCCCCAATATTGAGGGTGCAAACAGGCTGGGTACCCTTCCATCCAGGATTTCTGTCATTTTATGATTCAAAGATTCCCATTTTATTTATTTATTTTTCCCCTGCCAATAGGTAAACGCACCAATGCCTCAGACGGATAAGCAAATATGCATTCCCCCGGAGCTGCCAGAATTGCTGAAGCAATTTGCCAAAGCCGCCATTCTGACCCAGCCGCCGGACCTCGTCCAGTGGGCTGCCGAGTACGCATTCTGTTCTTACCTCCAGCCCCTGGTTCCCATTGAAGGTGGAGGTGGGGATGGAGGAGGGAAGGTCTTGGAAAACTGTGAGGAGGTTGTCATGGCTGCAGCCTGGGAGTCCTGACTGATTAGCATAATTTTTGTGATGTTCAGCTCTCACATGGCTTTGGTGCTTTAAAATCCACACACAAATCCATCAAACAGGGCAAGGATGAGACACCCTCTCTTAAGCGAACTAGACTGAGCAATAGGACACCAGGGCAATAGGCGAAGTGTCTTGGGCGAATCAGCAAGAGTTAGATTACCACATCACACTAGCACACGCACACTCCACCTTGTCCCAGTGAAAAGAAGGGTTCAGAATCCTGGAACTTAGCCAGCCTTTCCCGGGTGTAAACCAGGGCCTCGTCTTCCAGCCTCACCACTAGGTGGCAGCAGTGCACCTAGGGGAGCGCGGCCGGGAGCCCGCGGGATGGATTGGGACCAGGCCAAGCTGGTTCACTCCTTTCCTGAGAAACCTTCTTTCACTGCTAAAACTCGTTCTTTCCCTAACCAGAGACATTTTGTATCTTTGTCTTTGGGAAAATTCTCTTTCGTGTTTCTTTGAACTGACTTGTTCCCTCGACGTAGATGTCCACATTACATTCTGCAGAAAGGAGGCAAAATAGTGGTGAAGGCAGGAGGAGCACCTGGCCTGGCTGAAAACAGTGTGCTTCAAACACACGTGCCCTCTGTCCGCAGAGACCCCCAGAAGCTGCTCGGCTGGAAGGCGCTTACACAACAATAGCTGCTGGCAGGGATTGCAACAGCTGTATACAAACCGCCTCTCGGTTTTGCGATTGCTTCTTAGACAAAGTGCCTGTTTCAAACTGGGGCTTTGGCAGGAATTAGGAGCTTACCAGACCATTTTCAAGCTATTTTTACTGTTTGATCACCTCCTTATTAGTGTTTTCAGTGGGAAATGGGAGTAACAGGCTGTTAATGGAGCTGGTGGGTTGGGGAAAGGGAGCATGTCCTCAGCATGAGGGTGAGTAGGTGACTTGAGCAGGTGGTGGGAAGGTGTGGATGCCTGAGAAGGCACACCATGGAATCGAAGAGGGGCCTTCCAGAGGCTCCCAGACAGGGCGCTCCGGCTCCTGGGTTGGGCCACGACAAAACTTTTACAAATGGAAGGAAAATAAACCAGTGGTGCTCATAAAAAAGAAACATAAATGGGGTTGCTTTGCTAGTTATGAGACCTGTTTAGTTTTCCATTCTAAATTTTATATATTACCTCTAAGATTGAACTGCAACGTCAGAAGACTAATTTCTTCTGGCGTTTCAGACAGACTGTGTTTTATACTATACAATAGTTTAAAACCCCATTTTATTGTTCTTGGGCTACTGTTTTATAGCAAGAAAAATGACATTTCTGGGTATTGTCCCTGACATTTATGTAAGAAAACACTCCACCGTTGTAGCCTGCTTGCTCCCACATCGCATCGTGTGCTATGAATTTTTTAGATATCCATGAAGAATCAGTTTGTAGTTCAACTACAGTGGAAAAGGAGAGCATGACCTAAGAGCATGCTCCATCTTTTCAAACATGAAAAGCTCTTAGTAGATGGTTTTATGTGACTTACAGACCTGCAGCATTTTAGAACATAAAACTCCACAAAGCATTTCCAGGACAAAAACTATATTTAATTCATCACGAGCAAGAATTTCGCTGCATATGTGCTGTCAATCAATACATTTTTTTCTTGTAGATATTTTGGAGCTTTGTCCCGCGGAGAGATTCCTCTGGTGAGAGAGCAGTCTGAGCCGGTGAGAGAGCAGTCTGAGCCGGTGAGAGAGCAGTCTGAGCGAGTTGCTTTGTCTAACTGGGCAGAGCTTACACCAGAGCTGTTGAAGATGCTGCATTCCAGGGTAAGGACCATACTGAGGCATCGAGCAGGAATGCAGGGACAATGTCTAGGCCGGGCAGGTACAGACAGAAGCCCACCACCACCCTGCCAAGTCAGCTGGCCACTCAGCCTCATCCTAAAGTTCAGTAAACCATGCACTGAAAGTAACTCTTGTCTTGGGGAAATGGGAATGATATTACAATGGGCAGTCAGCTGAGTTGTCAGTGGGGTCCTCCCAGAATTCCCTGAAGCTGGCAGAGTGTCCAGGGCTCTGCAATGCTAATTAATCACTTCTCTCCAGAAAGTGCAGGTCCTCATCCCTTGACAAGTGTCTCTTTTCCCCATCAAGACCATAAGATGAGGACAGTCTCAGCTTGGGAAGGGGCATATTGTAGTTCTTCAGTTATCCCAGGTGCAGACATAGCATAACTTTCAAGGGTAACCCTGGCTCTCTTTACAGCCATGTCTTCTTGGGAGCTGCCCAGTGAATGGATAAGGCAATATGGTTTAGCACCACTATACCCTGCCTTAGGATCCAGGACAGAGTGTTGTGGGGATGACTCAGGACTAACCAAGCCAACTGCCAGAGGCCTGGCATCTCACTAGAATCAGAGGGCCAGGAAAGGTATAGCTGTACTATACTGGGGCATCTGTATCCTTACCGCATGGTTGGCTAACAACTGGCCATTCGCTCCCTTCTCCTCTAAACCACCCACCACTTTGTGCAGTGGACATGGCGGAGTCTGAGGTACCAGGGACCAAGCAACCTGAGACATCCAGACCGTAGACCCCACATTATACCTGGGAAAGCATGAGGGGTTCATGTGAGGTCTAGTGCAAAGAGCTCAATGGAGTCTAGAGGCAATCGACGTAACATCTAGTTCTAGTCTCACCACTAATTTTGGTCTCAGACAGTCCTCTGCTCCTTGGTTTCAATTTTTGGCTTCCTTATCTGCCTTATAGGGACAACCCAGGAATAAAACAGCAAACGATAAAAGCATCAGGAAAAAAATTAAAATATAATATACATGTACATTTTCCCCATAATTCTGACATCTGAAGTTAAAATGATCAGATCATATCTCAGCATGTTCTTCATTGGCTGAATATGTCTCTACCCTTGCAAAGAGAGCTGCCAGTCAGAGTCCCCTTTTACCTCGAGACCCCCATTTCTTGCTGTGTGCTGGGAGAACACAGGGCCTTGCCTGGGCAGGTGCGTCTCAGGGCATGTTTTCACCCCGTCCCTCATTCTCCGTCTTGTGTTCTATCCCCTGTCCTGCAGGTTGGTGGCAGACTGATTATCCATGTCAATGAGCTGGCCCAGATGTGGAAGGTGCTGAATCTCCCGACAGATCTGCTTAACAGTGTGATGAATGTGGGCCGCTTCACAGAGGAGATTGAGTGGCTGAAGTTTTTAGTCCTTGCTTGCAGCTCTCTTGGTGTAGTAAGTTAGCTTTAATGCTTTGTGTCCTTAAGGGAAAAAAATCTCTCTCCGGGCATGGAAGTGTCATAGATACACACCATCAACCCTCCAGGGCTGAAGGTGAGCATGCCTCCTCTTTCTTCTCCTTCCCCTGTCTGAATTCTCGGCTCATCAGCCAGAAAAAGGACTTAGGAGGAAAGAGAGGGGAAACCTGTGATTAGGTTCTGGGGAGAAGTTGACTAAAATGTGACTTTTGGTTTATTTATGAATTTCAATCACGGCACTTAGATTTCTTTTTGTCACCACCTCACTCCCTCCATTCATATTTCTAGAGATAACCCAGACCCAGCTGTAGAATAAGATTTGCTTATACTGGGTTCCAGACACCTAGAAGATATACCAATAAGAGACTTTTTAAAAGAGGTGCAGCCTTATAGAAAACTGTTTGATGAGCATAACTGGATACAAAAATCAGAGATGAGAGAGCAGGAAAGGAGAGCTGAGGCTATTTCTAGATGTACAGTCATGACATCATCATGGATGCAGGATGCTCATACAAATTCATGCCTTTTTCAAATTTGACTTGGTTTACAATTGGAAAAGCCATTTTCCTGTTTTAAATTAAAAACCATGCAATATATATATATATATATATATATATATATATATATATATATATAAAAGCTTTAGGTATCATATGTGACTCACTCTTGTTAAACACCGTTACAATAGCTTAAATGAAAATTCATCAGAAACATGGTTTTTAAAAAGTCCCTGAAATACATACAAGTTTAAAAGTTAATGAGAAAATTATTGCCTCTGCCAAAACCAAATGGTGTGAGAAGGTAGTCTGAATCATTCAACATATCTAAACATGATCTTGTTCTTTCATCTCAAATATGCTTGAAATGCATATTTGACATTTTTGTTTCTGGGGAAAAGGCACTAGAAATATTGCAGTCCACCTTTTCCTGTGGGTTGCCCCTGCAATTTTCATCATAATCATTTCTTTAGAGAGGAGGAGAGAAGAGGCCATTTACGGTTTTGTGTTTTCATTGTCCTTTATGGCAATATTATATAACGAATAAATTACTCTCCTCCAAAGAGGAGAGAAAACTGCAGCAGGGGGAGGCGAGTTGCCAATCAGCGCCATCTTCTGTGGAAATAGCCCCAAGGATCGGGGAAAACCACAGAAGGGAAAATAAAAACCCGACATGTTTTATTAAAGTCTCATAAGGCCACAAGTTTATTCACACTACATCCAGAGATGTTCGGGGTGGGGAAAGTATTTTATCTTTAGTTCATTCTGATCTTCCCAATCTATCCCACCCACAAAGGGTGGAATAAGAAAATAAGTAGATTCTATTCAATCCAGGGCTTTTCATCTGATGCAATAAATGAAACAGCTTTAAGGTAAATTGTCCAGTCTCTCAAGTTTCTTCTCACCACTCCTCTCTTTAAGATGGCAGTTGAGTGTATAGGGAAAGAGGTGACTCTAGGACCTCACAACAGCCAAGTGAAGGGTTTCCTACATGCCTTGGTCCTCTCTAGCACCTCTGAACTGCATGAAGATAAATACTCATCATTATAGTTCCTAGTTGTTTGCAGCTTAAGTCCTTGGTCTCTCCTCTCTCACAGCACAATAGTTGCCACCAGCTCATCTGTGTTCTTCTGGTGCTTAGGGCCTCCTTAGTCTCTTCCAGGTAGCCTTCATCTGCTCCCTGGTTTCAACAGTCTACTTCACAGCCCCTCATCACCTTGTGAGATGCCTGCGTCCTCTCCTTGTCCAGATACCTCACAGTAACACACAGTGACTTTGGAAAGGCAAATTCTAACCCTCTTTCTGCTTAGCTCACTGTGCAGCTGCTAGGTTTATTTTGATAATGGCTCCCTCCCAAATTGGAGAGGAGAAACAATGAGGTGAATTGTCACTTTCTATGTCCCTGCTAACAGGAGGAGTTCGGATTAGATATTCCCTGGGGTTCTTTCATCGCTAACATTCAGTGATTCTAATCCCCCTTTTCTGCTTCCACTGAGACACCCTCAGGCCTGGTTCTGGATAACAGTGGGCCCCTCCAATTCTGAGAGGTCCTGAGGTGTCTGACTTTGCCTCTCATCATTTTTGTGTCAAAGAACACCTAGAGACGAAGCTAGCCTAAAGGTCTAGCTAGTCTGTAAATAAAGGGTGCTCTGTGAATCCGGGAACCAATACCGTTATACTCATTTGTTTCGTGTTGGACTATTGCTGGGAATTTAAATGTGGAGTGGTCCAGGTGTCACCACCTAGGGGAGGGTCTGCATTCTAGGTAATCCATATATCCTTAAAGGCAAGCCCAGAAATTCCCCCTTTCTTTGCCAAATCACCGATCAACCATGATCTCTGTGCCATTTAGAAAATCCAGTTCCCTCTTTATAGAAGAGTCTAACGGCAGGAATTTTAGGGAGCAGGTGCATTTACTCCAGTCTTGAGCTCTCTGAGTCCACACACATGATTCAGAAGGCTACAGCATGCAGGCCTGTATTCTTCTTTCGTTTCAACACTCCCTTCTAGAAGAGCCTGTTATTCCACTGAGACCAATTATATAAAAGAAGAGAATGGGTAATTGTGTTCATTGGGAGGAATGACGTTATTTTGTTAGCAATTAACTCACTTTCTGAGTCTTTTATCGCTAAATTTGAAAATGTGGCTCATAAGATGCTTAACGGCTATTTCTAAGAAGTAGATCCCTATCTGACAATAAAAATCTGTGCAACAGAATACAAATTTCTGCTTACTTTAGATTTATTTAAGTTTACCAAAAAGCTCCAGTCCAGAGAGTTCTTTATCCATTCATCCATTCACACAATGTGATATATAGATGATGTATTATAGAAATATACACTTGAAACCTATGTAATTTTACTAACCATTGTCACTCCAATATATTTAATAAAAAAAAATAAATCATTTAAAATATTCTAAAATCATATAAGGGCAATAGAATTTAAAGGTTTGTTGTTTGGATGATCAGTGAAAGGTGTTTGGCATAGAAAGCACCTATCTTAGCTTGTTAGGGCGGCCATAACAAGTACCACAAACTGGATGGCTTAAACAACAGAAATTTATTCTCTCACGGTTCTGGAGGCCGGAAATCTGAAATCAAGGTGTGTCTGAGGCCAGTCTCATTTGGCTTGTAAATGGCCATCATCCCCCCTTTCTTCACATGGTTGTCCCTGTGTGCCTGGCCTTTCGCGCTCACTGTCTCTCACTATCTCCTAATCGCCTCTTCTTTTTTTTTTTTTTTTAGCTGAGCCATCCTGCTACCTGTTGGCTGCTCAGCGGCTGCTCAGCTCGGGCTGGACTCGAACCGCTGTTGCTCAGAGCTCAAACTCTTGAGCAAGCTCTTAATCAACTGAGCCACTCGGCCAGCCCTCGCCTCTTCTTATAAGGACTCCAGACCTATTGGATTAAGACCCACTCTAATGACTTCATTTTAATTTAATTACCTCTTTAAATGCCCTATCTCCAAATTCAGTCACATTCAGTGTTCTGAGAAGACGAGAGCAGCCTGGAAGGGACTCAAGGAGGCCCTGAGCACCAGCAGGAACACAGATGACCCTTTAATGTAGTACTAGGAGTTGGAGCTTCAACATATGAACTTTGGGGGGACACAACTCAGCTCATAAGAGCACCCCAATTTGGATGAGAATGTAGGAAGAGGACAACAGAACAAAGGCAGTAGAGGAATAGGGTTTTTGTTTGTTTGTTTTTTAAGAGAATCAGAGAGGATGAGCTACGGATGGAAATTATGAAGTACAGTGCACATATGCTTGCAAATCTATCTAAAATCATTGGCATGCTAACCTCATATCACACGCACGTCCTCCCATTCTCACTGACAGCTTTTTACTCAGCTTCCTGTATGCCTGGCCTCTGAACTTCTTCCATGGAAGTGCCTGGCACACTGCCCCATACAATGCCTCACCATGACTTCCAGAATAGGACTCCCAAGGGCAGGAGACAGTGAATGAAAGTGGCTTGCTGCACACCTAATATTTATTTGCCATCTCGTTGTTTATCATTTAAATTTTCATGTATATTGAAGATTCTATTTCATAAAATCTAGACATTTCTAAATATAAAGAAACAACTTAAATATTAAATCAATTAAAATTAACAATTCATTAATCAATGCAAATAATGTCTAAATAACTTGCCATTGGGTAAAACTGTCACTCTGGGAAGATGGGCCAAGTTTAGTCAGCATCCTCATATTCCTCCTGACACACAGACTTACATTCCTGGGTAACACACACCACAGGTAAAGAAACACTGTCGAGGTATCCATGGCACTCAGGGAGAGAAAGGGAGCAGAACAGCAAACAGCAACTGCAAAGGAGGACAATGCTGGCTGGCGTTTGGGCAGTTATAGCAGCTGCTTGTTCATGCACCCAGTTGGCCATTCAGGACTAACTGTTTCCTGGTCCCTGGAGAGTATGTAAGGAGAGCCTACATATTATCTGTTTTAGTAAACCGCCAAGTTATACCGGGGGTGCCAAAAAATGTATTCAAGCGGACACTTTGGTCAACATTGCTCAAGCAGTAGTTCGCCATAATCAGAAGTGTCTGGATGTTGATGGTAACCACTTTGAGCACCTCTTGTAATTGCAGAAGTCAAATGTGACTTGTATTCATCGTTTGTTATCGGTATATATTGAGTATTAAATTTTAATAGTTTTTCTCTTTCTTAAAATGTGTATACATTTTTTTTGGCACCCTCTGTATATGCTGACCTATCTTTGCTAATTCAGAGCTCAACAATCCTTTCTTTGAATCATTTCTTTCCTTTATCCCATCATTTCACAACTGTTGTGAAATTTATTCTGAAGAAAGTTTTATTTAAAGACAAAAGTAAGGAGGGGCTGGCCGAGTGGCTCAGTTGGTTAAGAGCTCGCTCAAGAGTTTGAGCTCTGAGCAACAGCGGTTCGAGTCCAGCCCGAGCTGAGCAGCTGCTGAGCTGCCAACAGGTAGCAGGATGGCTCAGCTAAAAAAAAAAAAAAAAAAAAAAAGTAAGGAAAACCTCAGTTCTGAACATGATCCTTTAATGTTTAAGTTTCATTGTAAGGAGTGTTTGCTTCTGTAGCAACCTCTCCATGAAAACTTCTGCCAGTCATCATCTACTAATTTTTCCCAGCAACTACCAGGTTAGTGTTATGTCATACAAAGTACTAGGTGGTTCTAATTAGATGGATTCATATTTTTTAGAATAGCTGGTTTTATTGTGATGGTCAGTGTCACTTTTTCTGCATCTGGGACTCTTATCTTCCCAGGGACTGTACCCTTTTCCTACCCCCTCTCCCTCTTATGGCATTGCTCCAAGTATCTTGTTGGAGTGTATAAGCTCGTCTAAGCCCTCATCTCTTTGGAGATAATATTGGAGAACAACAATAATAATAAATCATTTTAACTTTATAGACTGCAAATCAAGTTCTCCTTTAGTGAAGTTATTCTGATGAAAGTAATAAGTGTCTTCGAGTATTCAGCAGTTTATAAACTTAATTCCTTGAGAGTAACCCTCTAACACAGAAAGGAAAGGAACATAAACGGAAAGACAGCAAGTATTGGGTCGTCGGGAAGGTCATGACGCATTTTTGCATTGAAAAACATAGAAAAATACGTCATGACTTTTCCGACGACCCAATAGATCAATGTTTTTTTGTTGACTTAAATGACATTTGGGTGTGAAAAATTCACACTCTCCAGAAAATTACATCATTCCCACTTCATTTTATGAGAGCAAAATTTTTGTTTTCTTTCTCGTATCTAAACTGACCTTAGGAATCTAGTCTGGAATACTGACTTTATCCTCACTCAATCTTATGCCTTTATAGACCATTTCCAAAAGTCTGAAGATAGTGTGTGAAGTGTTATCATCTGACCATGATGGTGGACCTCCCCGGATCCCTTTTAGTACCTTCCAGTTTCTCTACACATACATTGCTGGGGTGGATGGGGAGATCTCTGCATCACATGTCAGCCGAATGCTGACCTACATTGAACAGGAAGTGTAAGTAAACTTACCAACTGGAGGGGAAAGAATATGGGGACAATTAACCTAGCAGGCCAAGATATAGTGAGGTTACTATATTATAATGCTCTGGGAACAGAGGAATAATTGTGAAGAGCAGGAAATAAGAATCGAAAAGAGAAGGAAAGGGGAGGAATGATATGGGGCAGTGATTCTTAGAGTGCTACCAAGACAGACCAGTAGCACAGCATCACCTGGGAACGCCATAGAAATGCAAGTGCTCAGGCTACACCCTGAACCTACCCAATCAGAAACTGGGGGGCGGGGCCTAGGCATCTGTGTCTGAGCAAGCCCTCCAGGTGAATGGCTAATGGTTAGGTTTGATCAGTGGGGTAGGAGAGGAGAAGGCGGGGCAGGCAGGGTTATCACTTTGTGAGGGGTGTAAATGTCTAACTAGTACGTTGTTTTATATACCTGAAACTAATAAAAAGACAAAAATCACATTAAAAAAAACCACAAAAAAAGAATTTAGATAAAAAGGTGATAAGAGCAGGAGCCGCAGCAGAATTCATTTGGAGTGAGAGACTTAATATATTCCTTCTTAATTGTTAAATGAACTAACCCCAGATGCATATTTTTTTCCCCGAACAGAATTGGTCCTGATGGCTTAATCAAGGTGAGTGACTTTACCCAAAACCCCAGGGTTCGACTGGAGTAAAATCACGATTTTGGCAATTTTAGAAGAAGATACAGAGATGACTGCACTTCAGCATGACTGAACCCCGTACACCATCCAATGTCCATCCCCTTGTACAACTGGTACGCACTAATAAACAGCTAGGCAAACATATGAAATCAGAAATACGTGGAATTAAGACGTAAAATTATTGGAACAAAACTCATTAGCAGAAGATTGGTATTTTTCTCACATGGACACTGAGAAAAACTGGCTGAGGAAGCATGGGTAGAAAATGCATCTCAAGTCAAAATCAGACTGTCAGATTTTCAAAGGTGGAATGTTCACCAGATGCAGTTTTGATGTTTTGTGATTATTAGACATAACTTAGATAAGTATCTTTTACATTGTCAATCCACATTTTTACCAGTTTATTTCTCCATTTGTTGGTACAATGCTAGTCATTCATTCATTCATTCATTCACTCACTCACCAACATTTATGAGATGGGCTATAATGCCAAGGATAGGATTGACAGAAAAAATATAGGACACCTGGTTAATTTGAATCAAATAATTTGTTAGTTCTTCACCCCCCCCCCCCGCCCCCAACCCAGACAACCCTAGGAAGAAACTGCACTGATTTCTGGGCACATGCAAATAAATCATATCTGAATTCTGCCCTCAAGGAGCTCACAGTCTAACACTAAGATAGACATAAGCTGAAATCACTTTATAAGGGTTACTAATAAAGGGTACTAATAAAGTGATTCAGAGATCAGCATTTAAATGTCAATGTCAAGAGTCCCTGACACCATATACAGATACACTGGGACCCTCTTCGGAAAATCCCCTGCATGAACGTAAGACCTTCTGACAAGGTCACAGATTTTCCTTTCTCCCAGGAAGCAGTTGAGATTACCAGGCTGTGTGGTTATTGTTCTTAAGGTCAGGTTTGCCAAGGTTGATTGATCCCTTCTACCTGAAATACTATCCCCTCTTAAAAGTGTTTTTTTCTTTTTTTGTATAAAAATCACATTAGCTTGCTTTTTTGAGTTACATATGTCTCTTTACTGAATTGAGGAGAAATTTGTCTATTAGTGTCTAAGTAAGTAAGAGAAGATTGTGATGGGATGTCACCATAGGCCCTTGATTTTGACTTAGAGAGAAGCAATAAAAATAGCTGAAACAAATTCTGCCCCCCACGGTCATCCAGCCACACCTGCAGGGGCATGGCAACAACTAATCCTCCTGCTGTCTGACATCGTAGCCAAAGAAGCCTATCATTTATATCCACTCTAGATGCTTAGGCTGTGTGAAAAGGCTGAGGTACTGCAGAAACCTGGCACTGTAATCATGGGGATGAGAGAATGAGTGACATCTTTTAACCTGCCTCAGTCTCTCACTTTCTCCTTCACTGTGGTCAAAGAATTTAAATATGATCTTGCCTGGGAGTGAGGGGTGAAGGGGAGCAGAGGAAAGCCCCAATTGGAAAGACCCTAAGACAACAAATTAAGTTCATAAACATAATAAAAGAATTAGGTCCTTTGTACATTTGAGAAAACAGGTTGAAATTAGAAACTACACCCCTGTATCCCTGAGCACAATCACTCAAGAGAGGCTGTTGAAACCCCAGCCACCAAAGTGAATACTGGACACAGATATGAAATCGCTAAGAGTACTATAACCATCAGTTGATCCTAAGTACACTTGTCAATACTATTGATTGCGGCATTGTCAATTACTCGTCTTCTAAGCCATGCTTGATGTCCACGATTTTCCTCCTCTCCTGCTCTGGCTCACTGTGGCATTGCTTCTTCTAAGTCACTGACACTGCTAAGCCCCAGATGCTCATGAGAGCCAGCCTCTACAGCACATCTGCCAAATCCACCTGATTTGGCGGCCACCCCAAGGGCGGAAAACAGCCTTGCCTTCAATCTGCTCTATGCTGTATTAACAATATTATAAATACGGTATTAATGATAATAACCAACATTTATTAAGCACTTACTATGTGCAAACCACTGTGTATAATGCTTCACATACATTCTCAAACATGATTTTTTGCAACCTGACCTGATGAAGTCAGCACTACTATCCCCAATTTATAGATGAAGAAACCATCTTAGAGAAATGAAGTTGTTCACTGTCACAGATGAGAAGGAATTTTAATCCAGGTCTGTCTGACTTCAAACTTGTGCTGCCTTGTATGCTCAATGCAAGTGCGGACTTTCCCTCCACCCCCCAAAACAGCCTCAGAGACAAGGATTTAAATGCAAGCAGTTTAGTATTAGGGAGGCAATCCCAGCAATAGTGGAAAGGGAGTAGGAAAAGTAAGGTAGTGACGGAAAGAAAGCCAATAGAGGCTGTATTTTCAAGCCAGTTATCCCTGGAGTCCAGTCCTGCTGGCAGACTCTGGGAGGCGGTGCAGAACATGCCTCAGAATTATCTGAACCTGAGGGATGAGGGGGCTCTTCATCCATCATTGGCTAAGGACTGATACCTCACCCAATTCCCATCTGTAATTGACTGAGGGCTGCTTCTAGGGGCATTCACTTTCTGGCAGTTCTGTCTTGCCCAGCTCACGGCCTAAGCTTACTGCTTTTGCTCCAGAAAAAAACGCTTTTATGTAGGAAGCTCTCATGGGTTCACAACAAGTAGCCTTTGAAGGCATATAGATAGGACCACCAACATCTGCTACAATGCCTTATAGGGATTTTAATAAAGCAAATTTTAGCATTTTAATCACTATTGTTTGTCTCCTTGGGTCAGGCACAAGTCCACGGAGGCTGCAGGACAATAAGTGACTGACACTGTACTGTATTAAAAACACACTTGACCCTCAAATCTGACATATTCTCCCAAACCAATGGTTTCTTCCTTGTAATGAGATCATTCTAAAGGGGTCCTCTTGGTCCTTGCTGCCAATAGACCCTTGTCAGACCCATCCCACTGGCTTTCCTATGATGACCAGATATATCTGAATCCTTGCATGACCTCAGTTAAGCTGTCAAACTGAGACCCTTGTAACATATGGTTTGTATTTCTCCTTTAAAAAGAAAAACACTCAGGAAGCAATAAAATCTGGATTTTATAAAGAAAAAGAAGTGGGCTCATTCTTTCCTAAATTAAACTATTTTGATTAAAGCAAAGACTGCAGATACGTTTAAAGCTTCAGAGGGAAATGTAAAGATTATGGCTCAATTCCATTTTCTCTGTGTTCCATGCCCTCCCCCTCTTTGATGCTGTTCAGTCCGGCACCACATTATCCCTAGTTAACCAACAACTTGCAAGATCACAAGGGCTCTGCAACAGAAGGAGCTGGATACTCAAGTGTGGAAAGCTGGTTTTGAATTAGGTAAGAATAGGATTCTTAACCTGAAATCCTTGGCGAGGCTCCTGAATGCATCTGATAAATACTTATGTATACATATGTATTTCAGAAATGTGCACATTAGCATTTCTCTGAGGAAAAAATGCAAAGCTTTTAGCAAATTCTCAAAATTGTATATGATCTCAAAAGATTTAAGAACCGTTGGGTTAGAAATAATTCCAGAAGACACCAAATGGCTTGAGGAAATGCAACAGTGCAGTCTCAGATCTTTTCAAGTGGAACTGAGCTCATACTCTACATTTAACTTATTATCCAGTCCGTAGCCTTTTGCTTTTTCAATCTTGTATCCTAGCTATAAATCTTAACTATGTTTTTAATTTAGATTTTCATACACCTTTCAACTTGGTTGTTTCCTATAAACTGGAACATGGTTAAATATGAACAAAGACCTTCATACTTCAGAGATAAGCCAATTGGAAAAGTCATTGATGCAATGCACAACATTGGAAAACATTGCTTAGACTAAGCAGAGTCATTAACCATGATACTAAAGGAACCTAAACTTCCATATCAGGCTCAAAGGGGTAAGTCCTAGATAATCCTGAGTCTCGGAGCATTCAAGTGTCTGTCAGCCCCAATGCACCAAAGCAGTCCAAACACTGGTTGGCTCATTTATTTACTCAATAATTTAAAATTTTCTGCTACATGCAAGGCATTGTGCTAGGTACTGGAATACTATACCAAGATAAAGTCCTTGCTTTCATAGAGACTAAATTCTATTTGGGAAGACAGACATTAAATAACTAACCACACAAGTGAAAAGTAGTGCTAGCACATCCTAGCATAGGGGCACAAAACCTAGTTAGTAGGAGTGGGATAGAGAGGTGGAAAAAAAGGCTCTCTTGAGGAAGTAAACTGAGAGTGAATTCAGTAGTTCATGGCTTCAGTTACCACAGAAGACTCAGGGGAAATGTGTATCTGTAGCCCATACCTCTCCACCAAGCTCCAGACTCAAATATCCAGTAGCTTACTTAATATCATCTCTTGAATGACTCCAAGGCACCCCTAATTAATATGCCCCAAAATGAGTTCCTAGTTTGCATTTTTTCATAATAAAATATTGGGGGAAATGAGTTAATAAACTTCCCTACTAAATATGGATCTCTCCTATCACCCATCCAGATTAAAAAAACCCTAGAAATCAAGGTCAGTAAATACCTCCCCCCTTCCCTCCCTTCCCAAATCTATCACCAAGTCTTGTCCATTTTACCACCTATGCAGAAGCACATCTGTCCCCTTCGTCTTCCCTCATCCAACCCTCCGATCTCAGCTACCAACGTATTTCCTCTGGACAATATGGCTGATTTCTATGATTCTGATCATGGTAGGAAACAGAATATACCCTTGCTGAGATTTTAAAGATAAATTAAAAGTTTACAGAGATGTGGATGTGGAAACTAACAAAAAGTGTTGAGGCACTCAAAAACTAACAGATCATCCTTTCATGATACAAAAAACTCAGCAAATTCAGAATGGAAGGAAACTACTTCAACATAATAAAAAGATATGAAGACCCCACAGTCAACATCATACTCAATGATGAAAGACTGAATGAAACCTTTCCCAAAAGATCAGGAACAAGGCAAGGATGCTCACTTTTGCCACTTCTATTCAACATAGTACTGGCAGTTCCAGCCAGACCAATTAAGCAAGAAAAAATAAATAAATAAAAGGCACTCAAATTGGAAAAGAAGTAAAATTATCTTTGTTCACAGATTATATGATCTTATATGTAGAAACACTAAAGATTTGACCAAAAACAGAACTTATAAATGAGTTCAACAAAG